CATACGAAATAAGGCACGGACACGGCTTTAATTATGCCTAGCTGACGGGAAGCCTTATGTAAAAAGACAAAGTAGGTATGTATATAAAACGTGAAGACTGCGTCACTGACTGTACACACTTAGTGGCGATAAAATAAGACGTCTATTCTATACGGCAGGCGACGAAACATCGATCAATCTGAGATCTAATAGCAATGTCTGACCAAGTCGGCGCCGCTGTGACCGACGTACTTCCCCAGTCCGATCACAGACACTAGCAGTATTTGAAGGATTTCTAGAACTTAATTTTTCCAGAAAAAATGTGAGGTATTGTTTGTAAAAAAAATGAAGTTTTCTATAAAATGTAAAGGGTAGTGAGTACTATGCTATTTATAGTCACTATCGTTTCTCACAAAATAAAGATTTCATCGAGAATGAGACTCTCTGTAGTTATAGGTATTATTGGCTATACACATCAAATAACCGAAATGTAGTAAATATAACAGATGCTCCATATTTATTAACTTTTCCAACCATACATTGGGATAACTTGGGAACAACAATACAGTAGGCATTAAGGTAATGAAGAAGAAGCAGAAGTTGTGTTTATATCGTTTCTTTGTATTTTTTTATATTTATTATAAATATTTTTGATAATTTTTATAAGTGACACCACATAAGTATATAATAATAATATGTATTTATTCAGCCCTTTTTAACTTCCCACCGCTGGGCACGGGCCTGCCTTCAGTACGACAGGAATCAGGCCATAGCCCACCACGCTGGCCAAATGCGTGTTGGCGGACTTCACAAGTCTTTTGAAACTTGCTAGGTTCTCTCAGACATGCAGGTTTCCTCACGATGTTTTCCTTCACCTTTAAGAAGTTGAGATAAGTGGTAATCATGTTGGAAATGATTCGCACATGAAAATATCAGAGGTTCACTCGGTTTCCCAAGCGAGCGCTTTACCACTGGGCTACCATTGTCTAATAATAATATAACAATAATAATTTAGCCTTTTCCGACTGCTGGGCACTTGCTCTCCATGTTCCCTAAATAATATCTATACAAAGGTCACATAATACTATGTCTTTAACGACAGCTTCATGAATTGATAATCTTTGAAAATGACATCTATAACCTACACACAGTATTGTAGTTATTTTCTCTCTATTTTCGTATTGAAATATTTACAGTTAATGAAAAATATATTTTAAAATAACTGAAAATCATTCTTGAAATATTCAGTCATTAACTGAAAAAACCCTTGTTACTTTGTTATAGTTTACATTAGCTGATTTTTATTATATTCTAATTTTTTAATGTATATTTTATTTTTTTATTATAAACTTAATGATAACCGTTTATAACAAATTTGTACTAATTATTACCTTTTAGATAATATAATATATAGTTGTTTAAATTATGTAATCAAAGTTGTTTATAATAATTTTAGTAACAGATAAACGTAATGTCAGACTCATTTTATTTTGTGGATTGTTTTATATATAAGAACACTACTGTAAATAAATTATGTTTAGTATAAATATAAGTATTGAGGTAACAAACAACATGACTATTTTTTCATTCTACCTAGAATAATATTAGTAGACGTCATTTTTATACATTAGAGGTTAGAGAATATAATTTATTCTTCTATTATAATATTATAAAGAGGACTGATTTAGGATAGTTATTATCCCGGAAATCCTCTTAAGGAGGTGAAAATGGAGGTAAAAGTTTGTATGAGGAAGTAACCGAAACAAAGCGAAGAGAGGGTGAGTCGCTAGTATTTAATACATATATTAAAAAAATATAAGAGATAACATTAAAAAAAAAGTTTGTAAAAACGAATAAGCAACAATTTCATTCACATATTTTAAAAAGTGTTTTTATTTAACCTCGTATAACCAAGCACCCATTCATGCGAATTTTGCGCACTAAACCGTAAAATAAAGCGGGTCCGTCCATTACGAGGATGTCAGATCATTGACATTCATACATGAGATAATTTGGAGCAGGTTCCTGTATGAAGGCTGTGCGTGCGCCAAAACTGTATCACAGAGCTGCGAAGTTGTGGTAGGTCAGCCCGCGCCTGCATTCCGCCGGGCCGCGGCTTGACGCTCACTAAATATAGCCTCCCTGAGTGAACGAACTGACCGCCGAACGGATAAAATCGCATGCACTTTGACAATGCGCTTTACGGCCCTGGTATACTTGCACGTATTTATAGACACAAAGAAATGTTCTGCGTGAGAAAAAGTACTAAAAAGATATGTGTATTGAAACAACATGATTCAGGTACTGGGTGAAAGATACATTTACGAACGTATCTATTCTGTGAATTGCTAAATTCTTTTATATTTCAAAAAAGTAAAAATAAAGTGTGTATCTGTCGTGGTATAACTATGAACATATAATAGTGATGTATAATGTATGTACTATGTACATATCTTAGGTATATAAATAGTTATTTATATCAACTTTTGGACTTTAGTCAGGCGTATAATAAATAGGTATAAACTATAATGTTAATTTTATTCATTTACGCAAAACGACATGAAACATCAATGAATGACGTATGATGTATTGGTATATAAATAGTTAAGAATATATTATATTTCAAAGATTGAATTAAATATGTTTAACCAAAATCATATAAAAATTTGGACTCTCCATACAACGGTCAATTGACACGTGTTAAGCATACCGAGTTGGTGAAACGAAATATAAAAATTCTCTCAACTAAATCGCATGATGCCGCTAATGCATACATACATAAATAAAAATGTAAATAGCGAATGTCTGACGGCGAGACACGGCCGGCGAGAGCGCATTTATTTGCTTATCGGAACCATAAATGCGCTAACCGTACACGATAACGGAACAATGAGTGTAAACCAAGTAAAACCTACAACATTAGTACAGTGTACATTGAGATATGCTTATCTTCCAGTGTCAATACTCTTTTGTATCCCAGATAATATGGTAGTCTATTTGGCCTAATGCGCCGGACACATTCTTCGCTTCTGAATAACCCTCGACAATGGCTTGACCCATTAGCTACTTAGTGCGGGCTTAGAAATCTACGACATGAAAAAAGTAAACACGTAAGATCGTATATCAGTAGTTTTACTCTCCCTTTGTTAAGAATTTTCGAGGCTTATATTAATGTCCTTTTTTAATTTAATACCAATATTATTAAATAAATTATAATATTTAGTATTGTAATGCAAAAATTTTCAAATATACTCTAGCGGTCATTTGTTTCAAATTACCGTTTAATGTCAGAATTAGGTACATATCGTGTCTTTCTGGGATTATGTTAACACGAAACGTATTAAAAAAAACTAAATAAAATATGAAATATGATTTCGTATATCAATTTGTTAGAATTTAATATTATAAGGTTTACCTCACCGGCTACATACATATCTAATGGACATCGATTTCCATTTAATATTTGATTGTAAAACAGATTAAAGTCACACTATAAATAATTGGTTGTTATAACGGCTATTTTTAATAACGGTAATAGTCAATAAATTTAAATATGACTTTTGTACTTTGTCAATCAATTAAACATGTTTGTTTTGTGCGTGTACACTGTACATAATAAGTATGTGTACTTATTTAACTATACTTTTAATTACATAGATAAAGTTTGTTACTTGTAAAATTTCATTTTATTGTATTTATTGCTTAATTGTACTTTCTATAAATATCTTTATATAGCTAGTGCTAGCTAGATTATATAGCTAGATTAGTGAATTGAAAATTGTTTTAAAATTCATAATCACATAAATTTTTATCTTCCTAAAAATTTATCAGTATGCTTGTCGCTTGATATTTTAATTATATTGTATCAAGTTCTGAGATACTTAAAACGTTTAAATAAATGGTCCTCACGCATTCATTAGATACGTACGTTATAGTGTTTCTGCTTTAAACAATACGATATAGCGGAAGTATGTAAAAGGCTTCTTCCGGTACAAAATAATTTACGATCAATTATGAAACGATAAAATTATTATTTTGTTTGTCGTTCCATAACGTGACGAATTGAACTAATTCATAGATAACTCAAATGAAAATGAATGTTTCTAATGTTCTATTTAACATCCAGTTTTATCTTAACTACTTAAGCGTTATTGTCATAACGATGCCCCATTAGTTTCTATCATGTTTCCTGCATACCTACTATCTTTAGAATATTCAATTTTTTGTTTTATATATTTTAGAAAGTATTCATTGAGCTTACTCCTACTGTTACCGTTTATCATTGCGACCTTCGCAAGAGCAGATTGATAAGAGATAACAAGCTCTTGAGTGTCGTTGATGTAATCAGGTTTAAAGAATACATTTTTTTTTAAATTTTATTATTTTATGCTAACGTTTTAATGGCTGTAGTGACTAGTTAACGAACCGGTAAATGCAAATTGAATCCATTTACAAACGCTACGTAGAGCGACGGAGCCGCCGGCAATGAGCGATCGCGACGGGTCTTGCATTTTGCGCAAGAGTGTGAGCAGCAACCGACAACCGACGGGAAGTCAGCTGACACTTATTGACGAATGTGAACTTTATCATTATAAATTATACACTGACATTGTTTTGATTTGAGCACTGCATTCATTCGTAAGTACAATTTACAAATACATAATATTACCAATTTCCACGGAAAATTGTATGTACATCGAACGTTCTAATGTAAGCCAACACTGTTTATCAACAGATTCGCGATTCGCGAGCTACTCTAAATAGACGCGAAAATTGGTGGTGCAAGCAGTGATCGATCGCACTCACCGTGCGTTCGTAGGCAGGAGGCGCGCCGGTCAGCTGAGCCGTAGGCCGCGGCGTAAGAGTTGCTGAAGTTCACTTGCACCACACGCCGCTTGTCGTAAGTGCGCTGCAGCCCGAGCTGGCAGCCGGCACTAGAGGATCCGGTGCACTGCACGTGTCTCGATCGGGCTCCGGCCTCGGATCACGGGAGGGCACACACACACGGACCGAATGCTTCAAGCGTAGGCGACTTGCATCGCGGCTCTCGCGTACTGGCAGCGAGAGTGTCGGCGAGCGACTGAGTGCCGGCGTAGCGCGCGGGGGCCGCCGCCGCACCCGCGCCGCCCCTCTCCGCCCACTTCCTCCGATGAATGACAATAATGGAAGACGTTCAACTCGCCCGCAAACCGAATAATATGAATCATTGCATTAGGGTGCAGCCCCGCCCGAGTCCAGCCTGCACAACCAAAGTCGCGCCTTGTCCTCGCGAGTATCCACAGACGGCCAACGTATGACATTATGACGCTCTATGTCCACGTACGCCTGTAGAGTTGCCCTGTAGAGGCATTTTGCTGTGATTACGATCTAGAATACACAGAGAAATGTCGCAGTTGGCCGCTATGCGGGTAATTCCGAGTGACCGAGCGGTGGTAGTCGCAATTAGCAGGTTCACATGGCAGACGGCGGCGGCTGCTGTGGCGCGCTTGCGACGCCACTAATCTTATCTGCGTTAATCTAATCCGGCGCGACGCCCTCTCTTGTGTTTTCTTCCAATTGTGTCCACTCAAGGTAAATTAAAGATTTTCTCTCCAGGGTCCATACTCTACCATATAAAATAATTAGGTATATGTACTAATAAATGATTATAATATAAAATACTAACGTCGATGCATTTACTAAAAGACAATAGATAAAACTGATAGAGAAACAGAGTCTATTTGTAAATTCATAGAAAAAAATGTGTCTAGACGAAATATGTAATACATATATACACACAGATTTACTGAACAAAGACTGTCGTAATTTGTATAGCAATAAAAAAAACTAGTTTTTTTTATTTACGAAGCTTTGTCTACATTCTACGCATACCTGTGTAGAGCTATTTTTATTCCTGAATTAGCCCAAAATCTTTCGTATATTAATTTTTCCTCTTAGTTGTTAGTTTATTTAATCATCATATGGAAGATAGAAATAAGACACCACGAACAAAAAAAAATTCAAAAAATTCTGCGAATAATTTGGCAAATGTGTAGTTTTTATAGTATATGTTGGATCATAAATGATTTTATTATAACAATTGATGATCATACGACCTTTATTAATAATAGGCTTACATATAGTGGAAGATTTATGGTTTCCTCGCAGACCTTCACGAAGAATTGGACATTAAGAGCGTCCCGGGTCGCTGTCGCGAAGCAACGAGGTTTATTTTATTTTGTACGATCCTTAAAGTTCATCTCGTCTAGACCGGTTCACCCACGCCCATGCCTCGCACAGATTTCTGCATCTTGCAACGGACTCGCCATACAAGTTACTTTATACCCTTTTTATCCTTTTGCAAAACGCCGTGATATTGGCCGCTCCATCGCGTTAATAGTGAAACGATTTGCCGCAAAAAATCCTATTATCATTATTCTTCTGGCGATGAAACATAATTGTGTATCCGGTGACTCACTTTAGTTGTTTTGTTAATCAATAATAAAAGTTAATATTAATGAAACTTAAAAATATAATACTTTAATACCTAATATTTATGCTTTGACTGATTTTGGCAAATACATAGAATATGTAAGCACAAAAGTCTACAACCTTATTCAAGTTTCATACAATGCTTGAGGTTTTATTTTAAATGACATTGAAATATTAACATTGTAACACAAAGGGGTGTCCATAAAAACCGTATGACTTCGTTTTCTCGCAAACTTTTTACGCACTTAAAAATCTATAAAATATCTCATATTTCAAAATGATTTAAAAGTAACACCTCCAGAGCAATTACCGGGAGACATTATTATTAATATGAGTATTTTTTACACAATCCATAGTAATATTATACATGTGAAAGTGTATTTGTTTGTCAGTTGTTTGTCCTTCTTTCACGTCGAAATGGAGTATGATTTTTGTGTGGAGATAGTTGGAGGGCTGGAGAGTGACATAGGCTTCTTTTTACCGCAAGAGATTTTTAATTCATGCCCACGGGAGAACACGTTGTAATACAACCGAAAAAAATATTTATGATCAGAATTACTCAAAACTTGGTATTAATGCTCTTCTATACAATTAAATAAATACATAATACTTTCTTAGATTTACGCGAATATTTGACATTTTAAATAAAACTATCTTTTTGGATTTTTTCGCAAATTTATTTGGATTTTTGGTTCCCGACGTTTCGAATGCTTTACAGCATTCATGGTCACGAGAAAGACTGAGGTGTTAGATGTCTCGAAGGTATAGTTGTTACAGACAGCCTACCCACAAATAACAAAATGAAAATTGCACCAATTACCTTACAATATTTTTTAACTTTAAACATTTTTATAATTTAAATTAGTTTTATAATTGAATATGGAATGTTATTTATTTAATTTTTGCTGTTATTACAATTTTAAAAACATTAATTAGTAACCTATATTTAGTGTTGCCATTATTACATATAAATTCAATGGAAATTAAAAATTCTTTAGTCCACGCAAGCGTAGCCGCAGGCAGAAAGCTTAGCAAAATAATAATGGCACTTTAAAGTGACTTAAAAAGGAGGGAAAGGAGCGAAACTTTAAGTTTCAGATGTACATAACATTAGGTCTTTAAAAAGAACATAGATGTTACCCAGAGTATGTTAGTTAAAAGCCCATATTAGCCGTGTTACTAAATGATCCTTAAGTCGTAAACATTGTATGAGAGTTGTATTATTGTACTCTCTTCCTCTAACTTTGAACAGATGCAGTAGAAAATTTTCAAAAAATAGTGGCAGTAAAGCTTGCTAAATACTTTAAACAAAAATTAATTTACAGAACATACGTAAAATATCTTTTCAGATACTGGATATTTTGAGTTACGATCGTTAAAATTTAATTTGTTTTCCATAATATCTTTAAGAAATAATATGAAACGCGAACTTATTTTTGCAAACACAATATTCTGCATTACGGAACCCTTGATGAGCGAGTCAAAATCATACACATTCATAATCATACACATTTGAAAATCATTACAGCCAAACAAACACATACAGCCAATACATAAAGTCAAAGAGTTTTTTCTAATAGATTTAGCGCGAGAGAAGCCGCGGATTCTGCTAGTAGTTTATATACATATTAAAATCATTTGTATCTGAACGGTTAATAAAGTCTGACCAACGAAAGCGTGACCTGAGAACGCGAGAAAAATATAAAAACCTTTATATGGTAATACTATAGTAAGAGAAAAATGTTTTGATACGTGAGTATTTTTTGTATTTACGATAGTAAATTTGTATAATAGTTTTTAGAAAACTTAATTTCTAATTTAAAGAACACCCCACGTCTTAAGAAAATCTGAAAGGTTTCTAATTCGTATCAACATCATAATTTACAAAAGAAAATGTCCGATCCGTGCTACAAAATTAAGTAATCGTTAAGTTGTTTCTTAATTTGATATACATTTTTATCAAGTCATTGTAAACAACTGGAATCTAATATTAGTATATACGTTTCACGTTATATGTACATATGTACCCATTAGTTTATGCACAAAAATGTATACAGTTACTAACAACGCTTAAAACCAGAGCATCCAGAAACTTTGAAGTTTGACGTGACTTTGAAGCTGTCAAAGCTTAATAATGTTGCCATATCAAAACTTTTAAGAAAACTCTAGGATACACTTTCGTTAGTCAGATTCTAATCGTGATTATTGATGTTTAAATATTTTGGCAAACAGATTATCAATGAAAACTTAATAGAAATAAATAAGGTCTTAAGACAAGTTTCAATACCGTGCATAGAGTAACGCAAGGCTGTACAAAGGACATCAATTGGCACAGTATGCAGGTAGCAGTAGCGGGTAGCGACAAAGTAACTCATTATAATCCAGCAAGAATGGCGCTTTGTGGCCCAGCGTGGAGGTTAAATATCTAATGCCTTTGTAGCCCACATAATGTTACATGAGCGGCGGCTATGTGCGATATTGCATGGGAAATTTAGCCTTAAATTGCTAAATGAAATTGCAGTCTACATGGATGAATTTTGGAACATTGTACGTACTAATTAAATTGAAGAACAATTTTTAACAATGGGATCTCTCCTTCGTGAACGCTCTTTATGATTACATTATGCATAAATTAACGTGTTGCTGTATAAACGGCGAAATAGTTAGAAGTTATGTAGATTAGTCAACACGTTTACGTATCGTGACTAATGTCATTTTAAATAGTAAAATTTAAAATTTTGATATTAAATATATTTTCCATAAAGATGTGAGAGGAACATGAATTTGAGACTACATTTCTGGTTTTAAAGAAAACACATCCAAGTAAAGTAAGTATTACGTCTGCCGTCTAACGACATGGCTGAAATTCTATGCACATACATTTTTCCAGCTAGCTTATAAAAATAACATAAACATAATATCAATAAATATTACTAATTAATTATCCTTATGAAAATATATATTATTGGAGTTAATAAATATGAAAACGCATAAAGAAAAAATATATTCAGGTTTATACTAATTGATTGCAACATATCATTCATAAAATATTATCTACAATATAATATTTTCTGTAATCTATACTATCTATACTAATATTATAAAGACGTAAAGTTTGTGGTTTTGTGACGTTGTAGGGAAAATCTCTACTAAATTCTCTGGATCTACTGAACCGATTTAAATGAAATTAGGTAAGAAGCGAGTTTAAGACCCTGGAAAGGACATAGGATACTTTTTACACCGGAAATCATCCCTTAAGGGGGTGAAAATGGGGATGAAATTTGTATGGGGAATAAAGTTAGGGACGAACCCGAGCGAAGCGAGGATGAATTGCTAGTATTATATATAATCTAATAAAAATTACCAAATTTTATATTATGCTGGAATAACATTTAAACTTGTTTATAATTTTACGTAGTGAATACCTTAAAATTTCCAATTCATTTATTCTAAGCAATGACGAAATGGAAATGAAATATACGCCTGCATATAGCAACGATGCAACCAGGAAGATTATTATCAAAATGAAATTCATTACGGTGACCGCGGGTCCCGTGATACTTGTACAGACTCTAGTTAATTAAGCGCTCGACTCTGACTTCAGATTACCATCATATTGTAGGCAAAATTATATTTATAATGTTATTTTATAACATGTTTATTTTTACCGCTACTGAAATAATGGGCACTAATTATTTATTCAACATAAATTATACAAATATACGAAAATTTAAATAATTGCATATTTTAAACTATACTAATTTGAATTGTCAAAAGTTTTTGATAATTGAAATATTATCATCTATACAGTCATTTATACGACCTTACC